GTCACCCAGAGCCAGCAAGGGGAAAAGGAGGAGGAGAAAAAAAATAGAAGTAGGAACACAGGCCCAGAGGCAAGCCTTCCAAAGAGGCTACTTATAAAGGGGAGCCAGGATATGGGGACATTTGGCCTGGGGGTATTATTTAAAGGTGGTATTCAACATTACACACTTGCTAAATTGATGACTAAAAAAAACCCATCAATGAGGAGCAAAGGAGATGTGATTGTACGACAGGAACGTGGTTTGTAGGGGGCTGGAGAGATGGCTCAAAGGTTAAGAGCATTGCCTGCTCTTCCAAAGGTCCTTAGTTCAATTCCCAGCAACCACATGGTGGCTCACAACCATTTGTAATGGGGTCTGGTGCCCCCATTACATACATACACACAGACAGAATATTATGTACATAATAAATAAATATTTAAAAAAAAGAAACGTGGTTTGTACTTCAAGCCCCATATAGTAACAATGACTTTGCCTCAAATATAACTCATTATTCTTTACGTGCTCATCTGTTCTCCAATAGAAATGATAGACAATGGAGCTAACTCCGAATATGTCCATGACACTGCTAAAATGTTACGTCAGTAAGGATCATATTTTAAAATACTTTTTAGAAGTTTATTGTTCTACAGAACTTGAGTGGTTCTAACTAATGCAATATTGAAACCAGCTCAAATGACCTCCATTCAAATTAGCCCTGGAAAAGCAGAAGAACAAAAAGCCTCACCCACAAAATCTTTCTGCATTGGCTCTGCGTGGCTGGCTGAAACAGCACAGAGCCCTTAAAAGTCACGTAAGCCGCTGGGCTATTTGCTCATGGTCCTGGGTGTCTTTCAAAAATCTGTTGCCAGCACTCCAGAGGGATAGGAAGGATAGAAATTTGATGGGCTACATAGGGGTGGAGGCTAGCCTCCACTACATGTCTTAAAACAAAACCTTCCTAGTCAAAACGAAACCCAAGATTGGCAAATAGGTGCGCGGGTTTTCCCTCCAGAAAGGGGCAGCCCTCGGATGGAGGCACCGGGCCTGCCCAGCAGACACTGCGGACCGACCTGGGCAGCACGCTACTCCCAGCCGCCCGTTCCCGGCGCCCGCAACTTGCCTGGGAAGCAGGGCTGCGCGTCCACGAGGCTCTTCAGTTTTCTTCTCCCACTGAACAAGCCCTAATTGACAGGTGACTTGTCGCAGAGGTCTGAAAGTTAGAATGTGACTGCCAGAGATCTTGTTCCGAAGCTGCCGCGACTCGGCACGCCACGCCCAGCGAAGACCTGGGCTGGTCCTGGAGCCCTCGGGGCGACGGGCTTTGCCTTCAGAGGTCGTGCTCTGCGGGCCTCCCGGTGTCCTGGCAGACTGGGCCACCAACGACCGAGTGGAGGGAGGATGGGGTGCACTGTCCCCAGGAGGAAGCAGATGGCCAAGGGCGGAGGAGGGGAAATGCCGTGGGGAACTGCTACCCAGGCAAAAGCCGGCTTGGCTCCCTGGTTTTTGTTTTCTTCGTTTTGAATTTCTGTTTTCCTCCTTTTAAATTAAGTCCCAAAGTCCAGGCTAGGAGAAGCCCGGAAAGGAATTCGGCTTCTATCTGTTCCTTACAGTCCAAATAAGGCCCAAGACCACCACCACCACCAACAACAACAACAAAAAAACCCCAACCAAACCAACCAACAAGAAGAATCTAGTAAAACTACAAACCTTCCAGAGTCCCCATACTCGATTTTTACCTCAGGCTCCAATGTTGGACATACCTCAAAAATTCCGTTAGATCTTCTCTCTTCTGACATTTTGGTGATTTTGAGACAGGGTCTCACTATGCAGTTCTGGCTGTCCTGGAACTCACTTAGTAGGATAAATTAAAAAAAAAAAAACGGATGCGACTGCTCTGAGGTACGATGGAAGAAAGTTTACTGTGGAGATATGGGAAGAGCATAGTCAGAGACAGGGACATCTGGGAGAGTCCACAGTGGACCATGAGGAGAGGGACGGGGGGGGGGGGGGGGGGGGAACCAGGTGCAGCAGCCGAGACAGCAAAAGGTAAAAGAGCGAGTAACCAAAAGATCTGGATTATATAGGAAAGAGTCTCTGGGGGAAGGGTAGGTACTGAGGGATGCTGCGAGAATCTGGCAGCCAGGTTCGTTTTGATATGTTAATAGGCACCCCAGCCATTTGTTCCAGGGTTTGAGATTTAACACAGACCAAACTGGCCTTCAATTTAGGGATTCTGGCTCTGCTGGGATTAAAGTGTGTGCGCCTCCATGCCTGGCTAACTGACAATTTCCACTTGCTTATCGAGGAAAGGAATTTTTTTTTTAATATTTATTTATTATGTATACAATATTCTGTCTGTGTGTATGTCTGAAGGCCAGAAGAGGGCACCAGACTCAACTACAGATGGTTGTGAGCCACCATGTGGTTGCTGGGAATTGAACTCAGGACCTTTGGAAGAGCAGGCAATGCTCTTAACCACTGAGCCATCTCTCCAGCCCTCGAGGAAAGGAATTTAACCAAATCCAGGGAGCCCACGGATAGCAAATTGGCCTTGGAAGCCTGTTGTCAGAGGCACACAGAACAGACCTCCGAGTTACTCTCCTCTCTCAGCAGCCAACTGGGTGTACCACTAACCTTGGGAGCCAGTAGATAGTCCCTACTCAGACTGCTGCCCTGCTGCTCCTTAGGGCGCTATTTTTCTCTGGCCATTGTCTTCTCCAGGGTTGCTTGGGTGTTGCCCCACATGGTCTTTGTGCTCTTCTTGCCTCTTCTCTCAGTTTCCTTTGCTTGCCCTCTTCCTCTGGAAGTTTTAAGAATCAGTGTCCCCTGCCGGGCGATGGTGGCGCACGCCTTTAATCCCAGCACTCGGGAGGCAGAGGCAGGCGGATCTCTGTGAGTTGGAGACCAGCCTGGTCTACAGAGCTAGTTCCAGGACAGGCTCCAAAGCTACAGAGAAACCCTGTCTCGAAAAACCAAAAAAAGGGGCTGGAGAGATGGCTCAGCGGTTAAGAGCATTGCCCGCTCTTCCAAAGGTCCTGAGTTCAATTCCCAGCAACCACATGGTGGCTCACAACCATCTGTAATGAGGTCTGGTGCCCTCTTCTGGCCTTCAGGCATACACACAGAAAGAATATTGTATACATAATAAATATTAAAAAAAAAAAAAAAGAATCAGTGCCCCTTTTCTTCTCTAGTAAACTATAAACTACTTATGTGTACCACTTGTGTACAATGTATAATCACATCATCAATCTAACTGTGTGCATCCAGATTAATGTTGAGTCAGTATTCTTCCTCTGGTTCTCCCGACCATTCCCAGAAATTCAGAGAACCTTGTTTGCGAAGAAGCAGCGGTAAAGCCAGCATCTCTAAGTCCCTGATCTGTGATCTCAAACTCTATTGTGGTGACTTGGACAATGTTGCAAACCTCTGTTTTTGTTCTCAGTGGAAAATTAGCCTTTGTAGCAGCATGTCCCCAGTTTTCCCTCAATGAAGGAACCAGCAAGGTTTAGTTTTATCAGTCTTTGTTGTAATTGGTTAGTTGTGAGGCTGATCATTTGTCGGGCCAGGCCATTTAGTAATCAATAGGAAGGGTTAGCTCATCAAGGACATGACAAAAAGGAAAGCAGTGCCATCTGTTATGGCTAACTTCACCTTCCGTGCGTTCCTGCTGTAAGGTGAAGATGCTGAATGCAGGTAGCTGCAAGGTTTACCATCCTAGCAACCACAGAACTTCAATCAATAAATACTGCTCCACCTGTCTCTCCTCCGAAACAAACTAATGACAGATGTAACGAACACCTACTTCCCCATTTGACACACCAAGTGCGCCAATGAGCTAAAAGTCATTACCGTCCAGGGTAAACCGACTCAGCCTTTCCCACTCTTAAATTGCCTCAAATGTGGCATCGATCATCACAACACATACATGTACTGTCTGAAGAAGTTAAATTCGTCATACACATATAAACTTGTTTTTTTTTAAAGATTTATTATACAGTATTCTGTCTGCATGTATGCCTGCATGCCAGAAGAGGGAACCAGATCTCATTGTAGATGGTTGTGAGCCATCATGTGGTTGCTGGGAATTGAACTCAGGGCCTCTGAAGGTACAGCCAGTGCCCTTAACCCCTGAGCCATCTCTCCAGCCCCAAACTTAAGTTTTTAAAAGGATAAAAAACAGGACTTTTCAGTCCTTCACAATCCAGAGTAAATATTCAACAAATGCCAGTTTGCACAAACTCTAAGTTTCCTCTTTGTAGAGACCTGCCCAGGAACCAGATGTCTTGTCAGTCTGTGTGGGTGGGGTGAAGGCAAGTCAACTCTAAGTTTTTTTTTTTTTTGTTTTGGTTTCTCAGGACAGGGTTTCTGTGTAGCTTTGGAGCCTGTTCTGGAACTCACTCTGTAGACCAGGCTGGCCTTGAACTCAGAGATCCGCCTGCCTCCCAAACCACCACCACCACCCAGCTTAAGGCTATTAAATTTTAAACAATCTAAGTTAGCTGACTTAAAAATTAGACCAACTGATGGTATCAATGTCGTCCATGAACATTTTCATTAAGAATTTTAAGGATAAAAAAACAAAGCAGTGGTTGCACCCTTCTTTGTAATATTTTCATTAGTTCCTCCTATGTCCTCCTCCTTTATGAAACGAAAAATAAACACTACTGTTGCAGAACAATACTATGAGCTGTGTTATTTTTGTTCTTTGTCTTCGTTTTTTGAAACACACATGGTTTCTCTGTTTAGCTCTGGCTGTCCTGGAACTCACCCTGTAGACAGGCTGGCCCCAAACTCAGAGATCTGCCTGCCCATGTCTCCTGAGTGCCGGGATCAAAGGTGCTCTGTGCCACCACACCTGGCCAGTTCTACACACTGGCTAATCTCTTTTGTCTTTCTTTCCTCTCTGAAACCATTTAACATATAAACACTGCCCAGTCTGAAACAGTACTATGAGCTGTGTATTTCTAAGGAGTTTTAGAAAGAATTAAATTCTGATAGAAACAAGTCAAGTCAATTTGTTGATTTTTTAAAATTTTTTATTTTACATGAAACTGATTGGTGCAATCCTGTGGAACCATCTTTAGAGAAAATTCTTTTTCAAAAGTAAACAAAAATCCTTTGTATTATTTATATATTAATTTGCCTAATTTTTGAAAACAAAACTCATAGCTTTATCCTACTTAACTATAAATGATACATTTAAGAAATTGAAACAAAAGATGGATAGCATAGGCATAAATGAAACCGTTCAGTAAACTGCTTCAGTCCACTGTATTATTTGAGCCCAAAGGAAAAGCTGTAAGCCACAAACTATAGTTTTAATAGAACACAAGAATGTTTAGATTATTAGCAAAGCAATATCTTAAAACATATCTTCATTCAATATTTCATATTGAAATAACTCATGTATAAAGTTGCTTTCCATTATTTACTTTAAAAATAATACAATTATGATGTTCAAATATGTAGTCATATGACCAAACAAAAAAAATATTTGGAAAATTCAAACTCCTGCAACCACTTATATAAAGATTACAGAAAAAAAAAGGACAAGCTACAAAATACATCATAGGAGGAAAACAATATCACAGCATTTATGTTGGGTATGTATTTTCTTATATATTCATACCAGTTGAACAGATAGCTGTCAAAATTTAGTGAGCTATTAAGAAATGAAACTAAATTCATACTATTTTTGACATTAGGTAACTGCTGATTTCATGTTTGACTCATGGTTTCATTAAAAATGATTTATAGTAATATTTACTATCATGACATTTTGAGAGGCACAGATTAAGTGAGGGCATTATTATGCCAAACCTGGCAGAATCTATACCTGACTCCATTTAATTACAGTGTAAAGTATCTGAAGAGCCCATGGCAACCAGATATGGCATTTAATATGTGCCCATGCTGAGTAACCACATTAACATTGGTGATTAAAACATTCACAGCTAAGTAGATGAGACATTTTAAAAAGCTGCAGGACAACTTCAATACAAGAACTCAAATGGATAAATCTCCAAAATCTTAAACTCTTCTTAATCTGTTTGTAAAGTTTGTTTAAGGAGTGGTGGTCTAGTCGTCAAGACCCTAAGAGATGGAAAACATGTTTACTCCTTCTACACTGGGACATCATAAATTAGTAAGCAAGACAACCTGAACTCATTTTGCTCTTACATGCAGAAGTGTGTGTGCGTGCGCGTGCACATCTTAAAATGGCTTAAATTTAAGAGTCAACTTCTCTAGTCAGTAATGGTAAAAAACTAGAATCACTAGTCAGTCACTATCCCATGATGTCAAGTGTTAAAGTCTCCACAGCAGGAGACTCATCTGACTCTCATCACCTGTGGTGAAGAGGCATGACTGAGAAGCAACTGCCATGGTTGTCCTCTTTTCAACAGAAGAGAAGCCTGCTACCTATACAATTTTCCATCATTATGTATCCTATTCTGAATACTTGGATCAAAATCTCATTTCAATCAGTTTAATCCACACAAGAGTAAGACACAAACAGTAGAACCAATTCTAAAGACTTTAAAATAGGAAACATTCACAGCATTCAAAATTTGTAATTTTAGGGCTGCTAGTCAGAATCTGTAGAAACAAGACAGAAATGAAGAGAAAAACTGACTTCTCAGTGCACCACATGGTCAGTATGGCACCTATGTGGTACCAGGTCCCAACTGTAGACTGAAGCTGGGAATGACGTGACCAGAACGTTCAAATGACTCAGATCCCCTTTTTTCTTTGTAAAAGCCCTGGAAATGCAATGTCGCGGACAACTCACTAAAAATGTTTCTATTTCATTACCCATATTGTAGTGTCTCATATTCTTTATCCTAAGTTACACGGTCTGATTTTTAAGGTCTATTATGCATTTTTTCTGAGTGGTGGCAACACCTCTAAACAAATAACATAGCTAGTTATAAATCATAGAATGAGAGATAACAAACAAACCAAAAACCTGTACATTTTCCAAACTAGCAAGAAATAAATTATATCATGATATATCAATGAAAATTGTACCAATATTAACTAATAGTTCTATGGTAGATTATTTTCCCTCATAAAATTAAGCAGTGCAGAATAGGGCTTGGCTACAGTTAATCACTTTTGGTTTTCTTAAAAACACAACTTTATTCACTATAAACAATTAAAAGGCAGTTTTCTTCCTCTGTAATACACAGACATTAAATCTAAGATTGTTTTTTAAAGTCTCAACTACCTATTAAGAAAAGGATTTTTAAATGGTTAAAAGGAATCAGAATACCAAAGTTTAGTGTATGAAGAGTACATATAAACCAAGAAAAAGTAGATCATTGGTGTTAGGTATTTCATATGAATAGCTGCATTAAGGTCCAAAGTTTTTCCATCTTTACAAATAAAAAAGGTGTCCTCTCCCCATGGGGATCTGCATCGTACATCTCTCCCAGCACGTATGAGAAGGGTTTTAGAATGCTGCCAATGTTAAATCTTCAGTACCTAGAGTTAGAGGACAGTAATTACAGTGGCAATGGTGCATCTGAAAGCGTAGTTATGATCCAACACGAGTTGTGGTGGTTCTTTTATCTGAGAAAAAACTTTTCAGAAGAAACACCTGCCCTATGCTAACCACCAGAAGAATGAGGGCTTCTCCTACTGACCAATAGGCCACTCTTGTATTTAGATCCTCTGCTCGGCTTCGGCCTTGAGCCTCCCTCAGTCGGAAATGAGTCTGATAGTCGATGACAGACTTCAGAGCTTCGTGAATAGAAACACAAGCAGATTCCATCTAAACAGAAACATTTCCAGTTAGTTTAATGTCTTTCATAGTTCTATACCTAGCATATTCTTCTGCTGTTTTTCATCTCACTCTCTCACTGGTTTAACTCTCTGTAGTGAACAGGCAACCATTCTTTCACTCTTATTAGTTGCCCTGGCAGCGATGCTCTTCTATACATTCCCCTGGGCCAACCACTGAAAGAGGCCTGTTCCCCCAACCAGGATGCCACACTTCTAAGGCAGTTGATGGGACACAAACTAACAAAAGTGAATATTTTCCTTTTTTAGTTAGGGTCAGTGGTTATTAAATTTCAAAAAGTTCTTAAGAACTAAAAGAGGCCGGGCGATGGTGGCGCACGCCTTTAATCCCAGCACTCGGGAGGCAGAGGCAGGAGGATCTCTGTGAGTTGGAGACCAGCCTGGTCTACAGAGCTAGTTCCAGGACAGGCTCCAAAGCTACAGAGAAACCCTGTCTCAAAAAAAAAAAAAAAAAAAAAAAAAAAAAAAAAAAAAAAAAAAGAACTGTTATACTTGCTGGTGTAGTGGTGCATGTCTTTAATCCCAGTACTTGGGAGGCAGAAGCAGGCAGATATCTGTGAGTTCGAGGCTGGCCTAGTTTACAGAATGAGTTCCAGGACAGTCAGTGCTACACAAAGAAACCCTGCCTCACCCACAAAAAAAAAAAAAAAAAAAAAAAAAAAAAAAACCAAACAAACAAAAAAACCAGAGAACTGTTAGGTTGGAGAAAATTACTGCAATTAAGTTAAATTCATTCCTACAATTTTTGAGATATTGGCTAATTTTTAAATCATTAAAAGTGAAAATTTTCATATATATTCAAAGAACAAAATAGCGAGTCCCATATCCATATTTATTAATGCATGGCTGATCTTGTTTCATCTTTATTTCTATCTTTCTGATGATTTAGAGCAGTTCTTTTTATTAAGATTTTTTTCTCCATTTACACATGCGTCTCACACACACTCACACACACACACACACACACACACACGAGTGTTTTCTGCATGTATGTATGCCCACCAAGGTCTGAAAGAGGGCATCAGATCCTGGGGAACTAGAGTTACTGATGATTGCTGGGTCCTCTACAGACCAGCAAGCACTCTTAACTGCTGAGCCAACACTCCATCCATATTTAAAGCCATCTATGATACTGTGGCATTCCTTTACAACTGAAAGAAGATGCTTTAGAACACTGGAATTATTAGCCTTGCTACTTTTCTATCTTAGTGGCTGCTATGGTATGGGTCCCCAGTGTCCCCAAAGGCCATAAGCTAAAGCACTGGCCACTGATGGAAGAAGAGAGAATCTTTAGGCGACAATGTCTACTAGAATGGAGTTCTGTCTTTGGGGGTTCAACCTTGAAAGGTATACTAGGATCCTGGCCCCTCCTCTCTTTGCTGCAGCGAAGGTGAGCAACTTTCCTCTACTACGCATCCCTGGCAGTGTTCTACTTCTCTACAGGTTAGCTGACCAGAACTGCAAACTGAGACACACAAACCAAAATGACCCTTCCCCGCCTAGGTTGGTTATCTTCAGCTCTCTGTCCCAGGAACGGGAGACGAGCTGTGAGCTACCACCCGTGTTAACACTTCTTCCTTTCTCTACACTTAGGGGTTCATAACATCTTTGAACATGGGGTTGCACCACAGAGGTCTCATTATCTATTGAATGTCTAATCTGCAGGAATTTAGAATTTTAAATCATTTCAAAATTCAATGTTCATCAAGGAGTGAATACATGCTATTACATCATGTACTCTTTCCCCCTTTTAAGCAATGCTCTTCAGCTCTTTTTCATTACCTGGGTAAGGGCACTGACTCGGTTCTCACTGGGAAACAAAGGTGGGTCTTCTCCAACTTGAAAATCAAAATACACCGTTTTGTGTGTGAAAGTAGAAAACTCATTGCTGAAGCAAAATTTGTATGTCCCATTTCTGGAGGCAGTGAAGGTGAAACTGTCGTACTGTTTCTTCATCTCCTTGTATAACACCTGACCGTCAGGATCTTCTAGTCGACAATCTACATCGTAGTGACCACCAGTGATCACCTGGAAGAGAGTTACAGTGATCACGGTAGCTAACATTTGAAAACAAAATCAAATTTCTTTCTAAAATGACAGTAAGGCTGACAGAGGTCTTCCTATCACAACTTCACAGACCCTGATTTTTACCAGTGGATTAAAGACAGAGTTTAGACTTCAAAGAAATTTCTATTACTTATATGACCTTTTGTTTCAATAGTCACACAAGATATAATTTGTATTCACAGAGCTACAATGTACACATATATATTATACACACAAACATGTACAAGTACAAATATAAATGAATGAACTCGTTGGATTAAGACTAGGGCTGTGAAATGCTATGTAAATATTATACCAATGAGCTACATCCCTTGCCTGATTTTGCTTGTGGACTAGATCTTGCTAACCTGATCAGAATGACTACAAACTTGATCTGGTTGCAAGCCTTTAATGGGTAAACTCTCCCTCCAGCCAGCACACGTTTTGTTTTGTTTTTTTCTTTCAGTTTTGTGTTTTAGTTTTTGGAGACAGGATTTCTCCAAGGCCTGGCTGTCCTGAAACTTGCTCTGTAGACCAGAGCAAGATCAGCCTGTCTCCCAAGTACTGGGATTAAAGGCGTGCACCACCACTGCTTGGCCTACTACAAATTTGTAACTCACCACTTCAGTTACAAAGAAGGTGGGATTACATGTATGCCAGCACACATGGTCAGATAAAACATTGTGGGGCTACAATTTTAAAAAGCATTTAATAAACAGGGCATTTACCCTTCTCTTTAAAAGTAAATACCGTTTCTTCTAAGAGAAAATGTCTTCATTCTAACATATCTAGATATTCATACCTGATTACAGGATTCTGAATAAAACAAATTGAAAAAAAAAAGACTTGGTTACCAGCCACATTTGTTCTATCAAATTTAAAAACAAGCAACCTTACTTTAGTTAACAGTACCTCTTCTAAATTTGCTCACCCGTTCCAACTAAAATTGGGTATCATCTCAAACTCAAATTCCACCATCTGTTCACAAGATCACAACACTTTCTTGACCATCCTAAACCGTCCATTACTAATCCACAATATGCTATGGTCCCAAATGCCTAAAGGTTCTCAAATCTAATCTCTTCTAACATGGGGTTTCCCAACCTGGTAGTAGGGGCTGTATTGTTCTGGGCACCATACCACATTCAAATTTAGGACTAATCTCTCTGCAATCTCAGTATATTAGATGTCAGCTGCAGCACCCCACAACTTGCAATTTCTCCCTGTGGGGTGGGAGTCGGGGTGTCCTATCTATTTTTATCTTTCAATAAAAAAAAAACCCTCACTTAAAATCTTTTGAACACTCACTATACCCTATCAAGAGTCAAGATCTGTCATATCAGCATGCACTCCCTCCTACCTCTTGCCTCAGCAACTTCCTGTTGTCACCCCCAGACTTCACAAGCTCTCTGCCTAACATCTCTACTGACAATGGGGTTCAACAGAATTTGTTTGCCAACATATCACAGAACCTAACACTGCAAATGTTTATAAACCTAGTTTATTACAAGACAATGTAATATAAAACATCATTGCCAAAAGTTCTCACAGAGATCTGGAGAGATCAGGTATGGGCCTTCTTTGCCCTTCCCTTTTGCCATCTGGGCCAGATGTACTCAGACCAGGACCATTCAAGTGTGAAAGGAACACCTTGCAACCAGAGAAACCAGAGTTTTGTCTGAGTTGTCTTCTGGCCATATAGGCACAGGTAACTAAACTTTAGAGCAGGGCTCAGAGTCAGGAATTGGGCTACAGGGGAGCAGAGAGACCAAATACAAATCATGTTAGTTACAGGGGAAAAAAAGACAATCTGATCCAAAATCACCTCTTCGAACTCTCAGCTCGCACAGCCATAAAGCAATTTTTTTTTTAAAATTTATTATGTATAGTGTTCTGCCTGCATGCCAGAAGAGGGCACCAGATCTCATCATTATAGAAAGCTGTAGGCACAAGGGTTGCTGAGAATTGAACTCAGGCCCTCTGGAAAAGCAGCCAGTACTCTTAACCTCTGAGCCATCTCTCCAGCCCAAGCAAAACTATTCTTACTACTTGAGAGCCACCTGCTAAGACTTTAGTACCAGAGCTTAGCCTAATGCCAGGCCTGCTGGAACTTTCAAACTATCTCTTCAGTGTGCCCTTTCCTCCTCTGCTATATCGCAGACCAAACCTTAATTATCCTTCCTTGGGCAGCTCAAACCTCACTGCTCCACTACATTTCTCCTGGTGAGCGCTTTGTCCCCTGCCAGCATTCTGCCCGTGTAGCACTGCACTTTAATATCCAGACTGTGTCTACTCTAGGCAGTACCACAATAGAGTTCATCTTGAGACTCTCATTTCTAGTCCTTACAAGTTGGGTGACCTTGGATCTAAGCCCACCTTGGGTTCTGTTTTACCAATTGAAAGGAATACAAACTCTTCTCTATTTTATATTAGTTTTCTTGAGAAAGAACATATATAAAACATTTGGCACTCTGTATACATAGAGATTTTTTTAAACTGTTATAGCACCAAGCATATTATCTACAGCTATAAAGTTCAAGAAATGTATATGGAACTCAGGAAAGTCTGACTTACATCTTACAATTCCTTTGTAATTATATATGCTGAGAATTGATACACACATATATCCTCAATTCTTTTTTGATCCTTAGTCTCCTCTCCCTCCCTCATCAAGTATTACCACGGATATAAACACAAATTACCACGTACTGTTGATTTTACCTTTTGTTTTTCTCCTTCCGCACTATGCTAACCTAGTTGAAGCTATTATCGCTTCTTTAAAAAAAAATACGTTTACTATTTCCAATTATGTGTGTGGGCGTGTCTGGGAGAGAGTGTGTGCATATGAGTGCCAGTCGAGGCCAGAGGTTGTTGGATAACAAAGGGATGCAGCTCCAGTTACAGGTGACTACGAGCCACCTAGCACTCCAGAATTGCTGGAATGTTAAATGAACCTATGAACAAAAACGGGAGACTGTTTTAGTCTACTTTAAGAAATCACACTGAAGAGAAAAGTTCCTGGTTTACACTGTCCCCAAACTGAGAAAGAGCCTCTGGTGTAGTCACAGTTTTTTTTTTTTACAACACCCTTGACAGATGATCTTTAAAAATCCCCTAACAGAGAGCTTCCAATCACGTCTGCAGTAACCAAGAGTCCGGGGTCATAAAAAAACACCCCCCCCCAGACCCTAAAAGATCATGGAGTTATATTAAATCCGATTACACTGGAGTTTTGGATTACAGGAGTAGAGATGGGCATTTGTGTGCAGTAACAACTTAAAATAAACCCCTTAATTTCTTAAAGAATAAAGTTATTTAATAGTGCTCAAATTCAATGAATGGCACCGAAGAATGTCACAGCCACAGGAAGCATTTCTGAAATTCACAACGCCCTGCCTCCATAACCGATGTGACTCAGGTTAGGCCAACCACAGTGGCTGGGGCCGGGGGTACCTGGAACTCCAGAGTGCACTTGGTGCCCTGAGTGATGTCCTCGTAGAAGCACTGCTTGGCATTGTCGGGCAGCTCAAAGGTGATCTCGGAGGCGCCGCTCGGGCCAGACAGCAGCAGCAGCCCCCACAGCAGCGGAAGCAGCCTGCAACCCCAACGGCCCGCAGCGGCCGCCCAGCGCGGCGACGGCGCCGACCCCGGCATCATCCCGGCAGCGCGGCGGCCTCAACGGAGCTGCGGGGCCTCGACGCGCGCAGCAGGCCCGGCCCCCGCCGGCCCGCGAGCCTCAGCGACGCGTGCGACGGGGAGCGAGCGCGGGCTTCCGAAGAGACGCGCTGAGGGAACCGGCGCCGCTCCGGGAAGAGCCGAGGGACACGGGGGCACAGCCGGCGGACCAGCGGAGGAAGAGGCCTCGCTGACCGGAAGTACAGCGGGCGCCTCGGCGGAAGGGGCGGGGCCGGGGCAGGCCCCAGCGACCCGGATGTGATATCCGGGGGGCGGGCGAGACGTTGGAGTGAGGACGTGGAAGCGCGCGAGGCCTCGGCGTTGCGGGGGCGGCCTCCTTGGGCGAGGGGCGGGGCCGCGCGGGAACTCCACGGAAGGGGCGTGGCCGGCCGTTGCCTAGGAGGGGCGCGTGGTCTCGCTGCTCGCCCGGCTGCGGTGGTGAAGGGCTTCCGCTGCGTTTTGTCACCGTGAGTACCGAGTTTGGGGACGCTCCGAGGGACTCCGAAGAGCTCACCGGGGCGGGGGCGGGGAGCGGGGACCCCTTCGCCGGTGGCGGAGCGCTTTCTGGTTTGCAGGAGGCTCTTATTAATTGTAACAGTGGTGGAGGAGGCAGCTTCGGCAAAGAGCGCATGTTCTCAGAGCTGAACACGAGACTGGGATTTCTAGTCCCTGCTCGTTACCTCCCGGCCCTCTGACCTCTGCCTGGATGCTTAAACCTTCTGCTTTAATATAAAGAGTGCTGATAAATACGGATTATTGCACGGCTTCATTATCTGGGAAGGGCCTCTAGAGGAGGGGCTGGCACGTGGTGAGCACTAGCCAAGTTTCGGTTTAATAAAAGCACACGTCTGTTGTGTACCCCTTTTCAGGGTCCTTCCACCAGAGTAAGGGAGTTGAGGATCCAACACAGCAGAATTACTAATTTACCTATGAGCAACATGGCGTTTCTTAATACATTTTACCATGCGTCTGCCAGTCAGGTGGTGGCTTTTTTTTCCTTTTTTTTTTTTTAGGAAAAGGCAGGGATGGACTTTATTAGAACGGGGGTTTGTGAGTGAGGGTGGGGTAGGTTATATAAAAGGAGAGGAGACGGAAGTCTCCTCTATGGCCTGGGGCACCCAAAGCTTCTGCCGTGGCCAAAGGAATGGAGGCCAGAGGTCACAGCCTTAATTTTATCAAGACTGGGGAAAGACTACACCTTCCTGAGAACCAGGCCAGAAACAAATATTATTTTGTTGGCGAGTGAAAGTAAAACTGAATTTGACAGTGAGAACTGTAGGTTCTGTTTTCTGACTGAGCTGGGTGAGATAAAAGGTAATGCTCTTTTAAACTAACCTCGGGCCGCAATCCCAGCACTCATGGAGGCAGAGGCAGGCGGATTTCTGTGAGTTGGAGGCCGACCTGATCTACAGAGTGAGTTCAGGACAGCTAGTGATAGACAGAGAATCCAGTCTCGAAAAAAAAAAAAAACGAACAAAATAGAAAAGAAAAAAGAACTGAGCGGTAACGTGACTCAGGAGAGCTTGTCCAAGGCTGACTCTTCAGCCCTGCGGGGGTGGGGGTGGAGGGGATATCTACGACACACCCAAACCAGTCTGCCTTCTTTCTTCCTAAGAGGACAGTGCAAATAAATAGGGAAGAAGGAATAAGATTTAAAATCTCAGTACAGTATGAGGGGTTTGTGAGGGAGGAAAGGGGAAATGATATAACTATAATCTCAAAAAAAGTAATAAAAATCAGCGCAATATCACTTTTAATCGCAATTAAATATTACCAGACAGGCAATTTTTTTTTAATGATAAACATTTTATTTCTGTAAGTGTAGTATAACAAAGGCAATCTTGGTGGCGAAAACAACTAAATAGCAAGGAGAGGGCAAGAAGAGAGGTTAGAAAGAAGGAAGTGTTGGTGCGGCTGCTTCGACAGGCTAACAATGCTAGACATGGTTGTGCACCGCTAGTAGAAAGGTGAACTGGACAGCCACTTTGGGGAAAGCCTAACATGTAATAACGCGAAAGATACATGTAGACTATGGAATACATACATGACCTGCAAGTTTCACTTTCCATATTTTTAAAATTGTTTTTTTGTTTTGTTTTTTTGAGACAGTTCCTCTGTAGCTTTGATGCTTGCCTAAGAACTCTACAGACCAGCCTGGCCTTCAACTCAGAGACCTATCTGCCTCTGCCCCCCCCCCCCCCCCCCCCCCCCCCCCCCCCCCCCCCCCCCCCCCCCCGAGTGCTGGGATTAAAGGCAGTGGACCACCCTTGCCCTGCCGGGCTAAGATTTATTAAGTGTACAGTATTCTGTTTGCATGTTTGCCTGTACGCCAGAAGAGGGCAATGGATCTCATTAGAGATGGTTGTGAGCCGCCATGTGGTTGTTGGGAATTGAACTCAGGACCTCTGGAAGAGCAATCTCTCCAGCCCCACTTTGCATAATTTTATATCATACTGTACAATGTACCTTAGAGTATTTACTGTGGAGCATGATTCTCAGAGTATCTTCTGAAGTCTCCTGGAGGTTTCTGAAGCTCTTTCAGAGGGTTTGTATTTTTTGAGGCTGGATTTTTCATGTGTTTCGATCAACACAGCATAGCAGATTGAAGGAGGTGAGCATTCAGGCTTTTTTATGAGTCTAGATTTATAAAAGTAGTAAAGCACTGTCTTTTATTTGATGAATTATGCCTCATTTTCAAACATATTGTGTGTGATAGGTTGAGTTGTATACCTTCAGACACGATTCCAAGACCTCATTCCCATCTCTGTGGATATCGCTTCATTTGGAAGTAAGATTTCTGCAGTTATTGTTAAATTAAGATCCCCATAAGAGATTATCCTAAATCTGGAGTGAGCCCTTTTAAGTGCAGTGATTGGTGACCTGATAGAGAAAAGACACACAGATAGATTTGAGTGGTGTGTGCACAAGCCAGGGAACACCGAAACTTGTCCATAGTCCCGAGAAGCTGTTCAGAGCCTCCAGACAGAGTGAGCCAGTACCTTCACTTCAGCTGTCAGGGAATAAGCTTGTTATTTTAAGTCACCGAGTTGGTGGTTATTTGTTACATGGTATAAGGGACATGACCATATTTCATAAGTTTAGTGAAAACTTGTCAAATATCTTTTATATAAGAAATGTCACATGGACCCAGTAGTCAGCACTCATGCAGATGTGGGGGACAGCAGTTGATAATCAAGTGCCTCCTATTGATCTCCGCTTGGGTTTGGAAACACGTTATCCAGGATCTCACAGATTGGGCTAGACAGACTGGCTAGCAAGCCCAAGGATCTTCCTGCCTCTCTCCCTAGCTCTGGGGTTGCAGGCACAGGGCACCCCCGTGGGCTTCTTTATGGGCTCTGCAGGTCTGAGCTCAGGTCCTCATGCTTGTGCAGCAGGCACTTCACCCTCTGGGCCATCAGTCAGCCCAGCCCCTTTTCATAATTTCTGTTTCAAGAGCTAGACAGACAGACAGACACAGGACAGATGCTTGGAGTCCATATTCCTAAATCTCTGAGAGCTTCTACAGCCTGTAATTTCCCCACAGTAAATTTGAATTTCACAATTTGGTGTGTGAGTGTGACAGCCTATCTGATCCCGAATAGAGAACAAAGCCACGAGGAAGCCCTGACATTGCTTTGTCAGACAGGGCACGTTTGTTTCTAGGAAAAAGCAGAGGGTCAAAACCACTAGTTCCAGAAACTGCTAACCAGGAGCTGAAGTGGCAACTATGGAAGAAATCTCTAAAAGCCAGGAATCCAGTCAATTCCTGGGTGGTTAACTCGTCAGGAAGTTTGGTAGACCATATTGCTTGTCTCTTTGTAGAAGAAGTTCCTCAACATGGCAGAATTAAAATTTGGTGTTACGAGCTTGATATTTTGGGCCAGTAGTTTTTTTTTTTTTAATTTTATTTATTTATGTATGTTTGGATTTTCGAGACAGGGTTTCTCTATAAGGGCCAGTATTTTAAACCCCCAATCTGTGTAGCGATATGGAAATTGAAGGTAGTGAGAGCCACGCTGCCTTTCTGTTTCAGAAAACCTCATTGCCCCAACAGCCTTTGGCCACCAGGTGGTGCTGTTCACTTTCCAGATTCCTGCACAGGCACTGCCTTGTTCTGCTTTCCGAGGTTTACAGAATTGCAGCTAAAACATTTGTGCAGAATTCGCTCAAAAACACCAGACCAACAAAAGGGAGAGTGGGGGTGGTTAGGTAATGGAGAAAGAACACTGACAGCTGCTTTTAGAGAGTCATGTTAGGAATGTAAGCCTTTCCCTAGTGCGGTGAAGAACCGGCAAATTGAACCACAAAAGGACCTAGTTGGAGTTCTGTTGTTAAAAAGAATGTTCTGTCTGCCATTAGATTAGATTGAGGTGTATAAATAGGGAAGTAAGATTAATCTATGTAAAAAAGTCATTAGCAAAAATATGACAGTGGTTGACTAGGTGGCTGATGGGAGTGTCTGCTGATGCAAGGTGACTGGAACGGAGAGGCTCTGAGTCATCACAGAGGCGCAGAAAGACTGGCCTGCTGTGACTGAATGAAGGTAGGGATGCTCAGGAGAGCGAAGTGGGGGGCAGTACCTGAGGCAGACACAGAAGAGGCTGGGGTGGGGGTGCTTAAAGCAGTCGTTTCAGTCTATGAATGATGATCTGTTTTCTAGACCCCATGCTCAGTGTAACTCATGGTGCTTTCCTCTGTTATGTAAGACACTTTCTTCCTTTAGTTACTCCCATCCTCTAAAGACACCGTATAACTCCCCTTATATAACTTTCTTGCTCCTGTATTGGCACATAATGAATGCCCGACTCTATTAGTTAAAGACATGTTATAGAATGATAGAGAGGCACCAAAATCTTCCCCTTTTGTTTTGATATACATGGTAATGCTATTTTAATCATTGTAAATAATTGACTTTCGTGGCATGCATGCTTTAAATGGTGTATTTACTAGGCTGTTTTGTATCATATGTGATTGGTTATCTTTTTGTTTAAAGTGCCATATGTCTTGGAAAGCAAACCACATTGACAGCCACAGGTAGTTGTAAGTCTGTATTCTAGGTAGGAAGCAGCTGAAAAGTTTATCAGTTCATGGGCATAACTGAGGGTTTACATGAGCTGTCCTGTGCATCCAGTAACAGCGGAAAGAATAATAAACAATGTCTTTTAGCCTCATCTAGGCCCTGGGGTAGGGACA